TCAGGTACCTGCAGTCCAGGTACTCGTACGTGGACGGGAGTGTCAGGCCGTCATTTTCCAGGTCGACGAACGCCACCAACATCAGGAAGCGGTCCCAGTAGGTTCCCGCAACCTTGTCCGACAGGCCTGGGTCACCGAGAGGCACATTGTCAACCCATGCGCCCTCCACGAACCAGGTTCTGTCAGCCGCCAAGTGCCGCCCGTCCGACCTCAAAGGGAAATGAGCGAGGATATTCAAAGCGTTTTGCATTTACCGGGACCCCGGTGTGATGTGCACAAGAATTGAATTTACCCGCCTGAACTTCCGGCTTGGGAGATTGCCGGAGTTGAGGACGCGTCTGTCAAGGACGTCGCCCTCACCCTCGCCGCCGTCTGCATGGATGTCAGCTCGGCGGGGGAGTCGGGGAGGCACTTTGGGCTTCTTGGCGTCGTCCAGTGGCTTGGGGTCTTTGTCCGCCCCCTGCCGCACACCCCTTAACACTACGTGACCATGAGTAAATTTCCATTTTTGATGGGTTTCTACCCTAGTCACCCAATGTAAGAAGATGTGTTTGAACGCCGGCCTCGTTGTGCAAAGAAACTTGCTGAGATCCCTTGCACAGAGAAACATGCACCGACAGCTCGCTTTGATAACTTGCGCAGAGAAACTTGCAAGAACTTGGGCAGACAAACTTGAGAAATTTAAGCCGAGAACTTGGGCAGAGAACTTGCTGAGAGAACTTGCTCAAACGCACTTGCTCAAGGAAGATGTGGCAGAGAAACTTGCAGAGTGAACCCTGGCAGTCATGCTACTGAGGGTTGCTGGTGATGCCAAGGATGTGAAAAGCCAAAAGCGCACAAAAAGGCGCGAAAGCCACAAAAGCACCCACCGACAGACCAACCGACCGACCGAAAGACGACCGGGGACCCTGCCACGACCCGGCCCGCCAATTTTTGGGAAACAAACACCCAAGGACACAATTAAACACAACAGCATACGCAAAGTTCAAGACAACACTCAAGGAACCAAGACAACACACACCAACACGTCGCACCAAAGCAGACTATTCCAAATAAATATATATATATATATATACCGCGCACATGAGACAAACAAGCAAACCGAGCAGGCAAGCAAACCGACCAGACAAACTGGCACGGACCATAACTCAGCTAGCTCTGTTTTCCACTTTGCTCAGATCAAGCCTCGCTTTGGCGAGATCGCGAAATCTCAGGGCAGCTTGTTTCGAGAAGGCTGAACCTCAAAGTGAGTGATTGTGCTGTGAAGGGTCCGCAACGCGAAGAAGCTATGTCGATCCACCCCTATACATGTGCAACCCCCCCTAACATGCAGCCCACCAGAGGGTCTCGTTGGGCATCGCACTCAGAGATTGCTTGTGGCTTAGTCTAAAATCGCGGAGCCACTGTGGTTGGTTTCCGTTGGGAAAGCGGCCCGACAAAATGGCCAGTGTCGAGATGAGTCTTGACTTGCGTGCCAAGATGTGAGTTGGGTGTTTTGATCAAATCGATTGCGGCCACTGTTTGGCAGAAGCTTCAAGCAAACAAAAGCACTCCCCTATCCTTCTCACAGATCCAAACACGGCTGGACGACCCTCGTCCTTGAGACATCCGACTTGAAAACTGGTTGCGATCTGCTCTTCTAAAGAAAACTTGGCTTCAGCAAGAAAAAAGGCTAACAATGCCTTGTGGCCCCACAAAGCCACCCAAACTAAGCTGCCTTGGGATCAATCCAGCTTATCCAGCGAAGCATCCAGCTACAATGCTCAGGTCCACCACAAGGTAGGCTTGCTGCTTCCGAAAGCAAACCGACGCAGTGCCTGTGGCTGGATCTTCCACCTGCCCACTCTTTGTGAGCCCCCGCCTTGGGATTGAAACCGGAGGCTGCATGCAAACCGATCGCGTGAAGTAAGGTTTGCGAAGTGACCAAAAAGGCTAAAACAAACTCGGTCTTTCGGCTGAAGCCAAATGAAGGAACATTCCAATCCCTTCCGCTCAGGTGGTCCGTCGAATTACTGTACAGACCTGGCCGGTGGATCCGCTTCTCCCTCGACTTTGCCTTCAAACCCCATTTGTGGTGAAGGCTCAAAGAGATGTTCACACTCTTCGGGGCTCCCTTTGCTTTCCCGGGTTGAAAACCTACACCCCTCCGACGGGGAAGTCATCACGGCCGCGGCCTTCAGAAGTCGATTCCGCTCGCCGCTAGCAAGGCAAGAAGCCTGCGAAGGCGACCGGGATGGAACTGTCCAACTCCTATTTGCACCACAAATATCCAGACCTCTACGGTCTACCCACCTGCAAATTTAGGTGGAACACAAAAGCTCCCGGTGGTACAGCAAACCCTTCTGTGAGTCCTTTTGGTGGGTTCACCTGCTGAAGTTCAGCTTCGAACCTTTGGTCATGTTGCAAACGTTCCTCCCCGCAAACAATCAGAAACCGCGGCAGAACTGCCAAGCAGCAAACAAAGCGAACCTGAGACCGAATCAATGAAAAGTCTGAAAACAAAACATCACAAGAAACCAAGGTGGAGGTGATTTGCTGGCTAGAACACATCTATTGCTGGCTTTTGCTTATGGTGGGCTCGAGCAAATGGTGGCAAAAGACAGAGGCAAGGCAGGCAAGGACACACTTGCATGAGGCTTTGCGACAGGCTTGCTGTAATTCTGAAGGGCACGGCATCCCTACGGGAAATTTGTCTCACGGGAACTTTTATGCAGAAGCGCATCCCCCTTGCCAAGGGTGTCCCCGGTTTTCGTTGCTGTGTTCCAGATAGCCCGATGGGTGCAATACTTCTGGCGCACTGCAGCGCGCGGACATAAGCAGCTCCTGTAGAAGTATCATTGAACAGACTCATGCAGACCCCATTGGGGGACCAAGTAGGACCGACACACGAGCACAAATTCTTAAGTGCAGCCTCAATCCACAAGAGCCGCTTGTCTAAACGCCTGTCACTTACAGGCCTTTGATGCTACAGTGGTGAGGATCGCAAAGCCCTAATGTACATGTACATTGGTATACATATACAGGGAGAGATAATGCTCTGATTGTATGTGACCCCCTCTCGATGCCGTTGTTCAATTACCCACCTGCTGAACACATTGCCTGCAGACTGCGGAAGCATCAAGCCAAGCTGTAAAGCATACGTTGCTCAAACTTCAAAGCAAACCAAATTCCCATACCGACAGAATCGCATCCCCCAACTCTGCAGGTCAAGCCCTTTCTCCTCCAAAAGCAAGCGATGTCTCACCAGTCAAATGGAACTTTGCTGTCTGAGACTTCACCGTGTGCTTGCGTTTCGAAGGGAAAAACCGTCAGATTTTGTCTGACACAGTTTCGCCAGCGGCCAGCCCACCTTTTGCCGTACGGCCGAGAAACCCACCAGACGCGAAAGCCAAGACCTCAACGATGGCAACATCTCCTTGGGGGTCCAGGTGTCCTCGACGTGAAGGCCGTGCACCTGGATGCCAACTTGGTCTCAACGTGTCCATGCAACACGAAATTGGCAGGAAATTCCAAGGGCTCCACCCTCCAGTCCTCAGTCAAACGTCGATGAAACCTGACTGAGCATACAAATCGCAGGCGTTCCTCAATTGTCCTCAACGTTCTTTGTGTGGAGCTCTTGCCAAACAACTACCGCTTCTCGATGAGGCCCTACTCGTGACACACAGCCAAAAGGAGTACTGTATCGGGCCGGCTTTCCCGAGCGTTGCTTTCTTTGAAGGGTGCACACATGTAGCACCACCAATGGGCCTCAACGGCACTTTTTGCGCACCACAAAACAACGGCCAGCTCTTGCTCTCAGGGCACAAACTCGTTGTACCTGACCTCCTCGCGCCCTGCTGCGGCAACCTCGCAGACCACCTGGATCCTTGCAGGCAGTGATGCGATACACACTCAGCAAACGAATATGACAGCAGCAAAGAAGATGGTGTCAAAAGCAGGGACCTTTTTCTCGGCGCGGTCTTTAAAGGAGAGTCACCATGACGGCAACTATCAGGAGGACGTCCCCAGGTTTGACAAACTTTGCGTGCTTTCTTGCTGGATTGCCAGCAGTTCCTAAAACCGTGGAATGACATGAGCTACCAAGCAGTAGCACCGCACTCTGTTGCATGAGAAAAGCTTGACCCTTGCAACCTCATGTGTCAAATCTGCAACCACACTTGTGGAAAGCGGCCTTGTGCATGATCGGAACGGCCTTCTTTACTTGATCGCTTGTTTCAGGCTGCCAAAAACAAGACCAGTTTCGCCAAGGCTCTGTGTGTCGGTGAGCCCTGGAAGGCCCATCTCTTTGATGACAGCGTTCACCTCTCGAACCTCTGCTCGCAGGGCATCCGACTTGTCAGACATGCTTTGCCGCAGGTCCAGGGGCTCCAACATTTGGACACCCACTGTCCTGAGCTAGTTCTACCACGCAAAATCGGAGCATGATCAACCAAATAGCGTCACACGCTGGTTGCCTCCCGCCCACGGATGAGGTTCAAACCAATCGCAACTGCGACACGCATCAATGTCCACCATTGAGCTGTGCGCTCCGAAGTGTGTGCTGAGGTTCGCTCGCAGCAAAATTGTGCGAAGAAAAGTGTGCTTACTGGCGGTACACCGCTCTGCACATGCGTTTCGCTGCGGGTATCGGAGAAGAATACAGAAAGCCCACGCTCAAAAGCAACCAAAAGGCCAGCAAATGGAACCAATACATGTACATGGCAAGCCACCAGCACTAAGAACAAAATTAAACAGAGTTGTGAAGGCAAGAAGGGGAATTTGATCAAGCAAATTGATGGGAAGGTAGTGGTGGTGGCGGTGCTGGTGGTGGCTGCGGCGGGGAGAAGACTCTGCGATGAAGAAAGAAGGGAGATGAGTGCGGAAAGGATGGGACAGCTGATCTTCACTTAAGAGGCATCGTCGAAATTCTTGCTGGTTCTGGCTGATCTTGTTGCCAGAAAATACGCTCATATTGCAACGGCTCAAACAAGCAGTCGCGATGTACGGGCCCCTTTCCCGTG